AAAAACTAATGAATCATTGAATAAAAATTCCTATAATTAGCAAAAGGGTTATAATAATAATGAATACAATGTTTAAGAGATTTTCTCATAAGAAAAACAATACAATTTGAAATAAAAACTTGTGATTTGTATCATAAGTGTATATTTGATTAAATGTTTAGTCCAAAGTCCGAAGTTTGTAGCGCTAAGATTTGTGATCAGAAATCCCTGAAATACATAATTCACAAATAATTCTCATTAATTTACTGACCCTTTAATATAAAATATATTGGATGACCATATACTAATGACTCTTATTAATATACATTTTTTATGAAACAAATATTTAGTTTTCACTAATCAGAGTTTTTGCAAAAATGGACAGTCATATTTGACGTTCACATTTAAACATGTTAATTAAATACAAAAACAAAAAACTATATATATATTTATCCATTCAAAATAATTGGATATTTTGTTTTTTAAAAATGAATCTTAACGTCATTTGTACTACGCTGACTATTGTAACGAGTAAATTTGAGTGAAAAATAAGTTTTATAACTTAAAATCACTAAAACGCTACTCTTTTCTGCTCTTGATATAGGTATGTTTAGCGGAAGGGCTGATATTGGTTTATTCTGGTTTAATCTGACATTAACATTGGTTAAACATTGCCTTCTATTACTTTTATAATGATGGCTCAAATTAGAAATGCTGTTATAATTAATAACATATTCTTATTTAATAAACAATTTTCAAATAAACAATTCCTGTTATTTTTTAGTCAATTTAATAATCTAGAGAGAGAGAGAGAGAGAATTTGTTATTAAAGTTATTTATAACTTTCAGTTGCAGTAAAAAATATTTGTGGTCATAGACATTAATAATGGATAATTAGGATTTTGATCGTAATGAAAATGAAATCTTAAGAGTTATATACCCTGATGCATTCAACTAAACAATTATTGAGAACTCTTTCCCATATTTACAAACTATTTGTGTTGGAGTTGCAGTCGTAGATAAAGTCAATAGTTTAGAGTTAAGTTATTTTTAATCAAATGGGACTCATTTGGGGAACACCGACACTGCTATAGTGAATGCACTCTTACCACACGTTTCATCATTCATTCACTGCCAGAGACTGCAACTCATTCAAGGTTTCACTGAATCAGGAATTTCATAGCATTTGTCACTACATTTGTATTGAATTCAGACAATATTTCATATATTATTAAGTCTTATTTACGATTAATATACTGTGATCCATTATAAACAAACTATTTCTTTCCTTAATTAAAAATTATAAATAATAACCAATTTTAACAAAAAGTATACCAAAATGTTCAGGGGTAATGAAATTTTTATATCTGTATTAAAGAATACCCATAAGTTATTTACCTTGATAATAAATAGTGAGTAAACGTGCAAACATGCGTTTCGAGTACACATAAAATGAATGATTCCTTACAGTTCTATGAATGGAAGCATTGATTCAATTGTTGCGAACTTTCACTGTTTTGCGTTTGAGAGCACTGTTAAGAACCAGTGATTTTAGGTATTCACTCGAAGCGCGTGTTCACACGTTTACTCGATATTTATTATCAAGGTAAATACCTTGTGTCTATTCTTTAATATAGATATAAAAATATCATTATCCCTGAACATTTTGGTATACTTTTTGTTAAAATTGATTAATATTTACTATTTTTAATTAAGGAAAGAAATAGTTTGTTTATAACTGATTGCAGTTTATTATGATTACGGGTGTCCCAGCGTAGTAGCACTACTTTAAATTAATATAAAATATTTAAAATCATATTATGTTGACAAAAACAATACCAAAATGTTGGAAATGTATTAATATTTTATGTGTAATTTATAAAAATTCATATCCTGTTCAAATATTTAGTTTTACTGCATGGTTGTTTGTTTTGCGTAATACCAAAGTAATACGACTGTCACTGAATGCTCGCATCAATTGAATCAATGCTTTGTATTCATAGCGCTGTAAGAAATTCACAATTTTTTATTTATAAAAATCTGACATCTATTCAGTAAAACTAAAACTATGACCAGGGTAGGCATTTGATTGATATTTTATGAAGCGCACATAAAATATTAATAAATGTCCAACATTTTTATAGTTTTGTTAACATATTATAATTGAAAATATTTTTAGTTTTAATTTAACGTAGTACTAATACGCGGGACAGACTTTATTTTATATATGATATATTATATACAAAACGTTGTAAAGTAGCTTAACGGTATAATTTTAGTTAAATATAGTACATAAATATTTACACATTCATCTAGTTAAAAATTATAATTAAAAAACTAGGAAAATAATTGAAACCAAGTTAATGTCACATGCTTGTGATGTAAACAATTAGGTTTTAAAAAGGTTTAACAAATTTTTTATTTCTTTTTTACTAGTATAGAAATCTAAAATAATTAAACGTTAGCCAAGAACTTGCAAGCTGAGAAAGATAAGCCTATATTTCTTGGTATTGATCCGTTTAATTAAATTATAAATAGTTTTAAAAAATTTCTTAAAATTTAAAACAGAAATCAAGTGACGAGTCGTACGAAACACTGTATTCATTGAAATACATGGACGCAGTCATCGACGAAACCCTACGGCTATTCCCAGTAATCATGTCCACAGAGCGAGCTGCCAGTGAGGACTACGAGCTTAAGGGCACCGGTATTACCATCAAAAAGGACCACGTGGTGCACATCCCTATTTACGCCATGCATAGAGACCCGGAATACTTTTGCCGATCCGGTAGTGTTTAGACCGGAAAGGTTTTTAGCCGAAAACATAGCCCACAATCCCTATACGTATTTGCCATTTGGTGCCGGCCCTCGAAACTGTCTGGGCATGCGAATGGCTATGTTGGAGATTAAACTAGCCCTGGTCAATCTCATACAACGTTATGTTTTCCACGCAACAGAGGTATTCTTTTTGAAATTTATATATAGTTTGATAAATACAATAGTATTATAAACAATTGATATATTTTTTATTTTTCAGAAACCATTAGATCAAGGTGTTTCCGGTATTATAATTATACCAAAATCAGTGGATTTGAAAATTGAAAAGCGATTTTAATTTTTGAAATTTTTATTTTAATTTTACGATTGTTAAAATATTATGAAATGAAAACTTTTATTCATTGAAGTCTATGTTAAATAGAGTTCGATGTCATGAAGTTTCTATTCTATAAAGTATTGCTTATTATAACCAAAATTTCTAAAATAATACTACAATTGATCGAAAACGTGCAACAAGGGTCTATCTATTTTAATTATAAAATTATTTTCTAGCTTAATCGAATGCTTAAATTGAATTCAAATAACAAATATAGTCTACATCAGAGACGCCCATAATTTTTAAAATCCCAAAATTAGTGTTTTATAATATTAGTAAACTTATTTACTATTCAAAACACTAGTATTTAATGAATTATAAGTGACTTATAAATGACTTTATAAAAGTGA